TACCTTATTTATCCAAACCATCTCTCATTTTCGACAACCCGCAAGCCTGAGACATTAGCCAGCGGAGATTCAAGCCACGAAAATGACCATTGATAGCCTTCTTAGGGGCCTCAATGCTTCACAAAAAGCCGCAGTCTCATCACAAGCAAATACCCTCGCTATATTGGCAGGGCCAGGAAGTGGGAAAACACACACTTTAACGTCGCGAACGGCTTGGTTGTTGCAACAAGGATTGCAACCATGTAATATAATTGTGGCAACGTTTACGGTCAAGGCAGCTCGAGAGATGAAAGAAAGAATTGGGAAGTTGATAGGAAATGGACTGGAATCGAAGTTAATATTGGGAACGTTTCATAGGATTGCGCGAATATACCTGGCACAATACGGACATTTGATAGGGATTCGAAAGGGCTTTGGAATCGCAGATTCAAATGATTCTCTAGCCATCATCAAAAGAATTGTGAAGCGGAAAGACCTGAATATAGACCCAAAAGTCGCACGATCCCGCATAAGCTCTCTAAAAGCAAAAGGTTCCGCATCTGCGAGTAAAGTCCCCGAGGCCAAGAAGAAAACTGTAAATACACAAGAATTCGAGATTGTACATGCCGAATACCAAGCAACCTTGGAACTTTCGAACTTGCTCGACTACGACGATTTGCTTGTAAGATGTGTCGAGCTTTTACGACTCCATCCTTCCTGTGTAGCCAACATTGAAGCCGTTTTGATTGATGAATTTCAAGACACAAACCTGGTGCAATTTGATCTCATGCGATTATTTGCTATATCGCAAAAACGAATCACTATTGTTGGAGACCCCGATCAAAGCATATATAGCTTTCGAGCTGCCGAAATCAAAAACTACAAACGAATGATTACACAATATCCGGATACAGTTACCATCTCGTTGGAGGAGAATTACCGGTCATCGGGCGCCATACTACTCACAGCACTGAATGTAATTGAGCAAGATTCATCCAGAATTGCAAAGTCTCTTTTGCCTACCCATGTTGTTGGCACACGTCCAGTACTCCGCAGACTTGCAACTGCCCAGAAGGAAGCAGATTGGATTATTCAAGAAATACAAAGAACAATGGGCATGACAGGTGACTTACTAGACTTGAATGACTTTGCTATTTTGTTGAGATCTTCGGCACTTTCAAGAATAATTGAAAGCTCGTTAGGCAAAGCAGGTATAGCCTACCGCATGGTTGGTAAGCATCATCTCTTTTACCAACTTTGCAGCTTACAGTCAGATCAGCGCCTCCTTCTAAAAGGCAGCTACGCGACTGACCTTCGGCTAACATATTGCAGGCGGTCTCCGATTTTATGATCGTATAGAAATCAAAACGTTATTGGATTATTTGAGAGTGATAAATTTACCTGACCATAATGATGCTTTGGCGAGAATCATCAACACTCCCTCGAGAAGAATCGGCGAAGTAACCATAAAAGCTCTACTCGAAGAGGCAGAGCAATCTAAACTAACCCTTTGGTCATTAATCCTCAAGTCTGTGCAGGGAAGACGCGCAACAAAAACCAAGCTCACACCATCAGTCGAGAGAAATCTTTCGGTCTTTGTTGATATCATCTTGACGGGTATGAAGAAAGTTGCGGATCCCTCAAACAAGGAAAATTCAATTGTGAAGATTTTGGAGTTTATCATAGAAAAAACATCTTACGAGACCTGGCTTGAGGAACACCGTGGTGACATTACCAAGGCACAGTGGGACAATGTGAAAGAGCTTATGACTCAGGCTTCAGACTTCCAAGAGCTTATATCCAATGGTTATGAGGATGAATCGCTCCCTCAAATCGATGGTTTGAAACAAGAAGATGTTTCTGATTCCCTCTCTCGATTTTTAGCTAATGTAGCATTGGCTTCGGAAGTAACGAAGGAGGAAGACAAAACACATAACACACCACAAGTCACAATATCTACCATACATGCTGCTAAAGGTCTAGAATGGCCAATAGTCTTCATTCCTGGTGCATATCAAGGCTCTATACCACACTCTAGAGCAGAGGACACTGATGAAGAACGAAGATTGTTGTACGTAGCTATGACTCGAGCTAAGGCTTTACTTAACATGAGTTGTCCCCTCAAAAATTCATTGCAAGAGTTGACAACAACTTGTCCCTTTCTCTCTGCCCGTGGCCTCAGAGCACATTTAGACTACAAGGGCCCTTCGCTACGTTCAAATACTGTTCAGTGCCTGGCTCAGATCCTCCGGCGACCATTTCCGACTAGAGAATCAATCGCCGAATCTTCTGCTTGTCTCGAACGAGCTGAGGATACGCGTTACCCCTTGGAACCGGAGAATGATAAAGAGGACGAGTCAAAATGGAATGTTGGTAATGGTAACCCCAATTTCACCATGGGTCAGCGACCTGCTAAGCGTCGACGAGCTGATATAGCGGACCAAGCGGAAAACATTTCAACCGTGGTTTATAACAACACACCCACGACAACCATGGAAAGAGCCTCTAAGTTTACCTTGAGTGGTGGGTTTGTTAGTGCTGGCTCTCATCTTCAGGTCCTTGGCGAGCAATCATCGAACCAAACCAGGGGTGAAATCAAATTAGCTTCAACAAATGAGAAAGTCAAAGGCTCTAAAAAGTCAATCAAAGGTCCAGCTACTAGCCAAGGTACACTCTTGGGGTTCTTGGGGAAGCAAGAGCCACAAAGGCAGACTAAGCCAGCGCCCATAGTCGATGAGTATCGAGAAGAAAAGACCAGGGCTATTGCGCAATTACATAGACAGCGAAACACAACCTCCGAAGGACTGATGCAATTGACGTCGCAAAATGATAGCGAAACTCTGCCTCCACTCTTTTCCGGACATCGTCTAGGGACGGCTGCAGCCCTATCTCGACCAAGCGTTAATCGGATCCAAGAGAAACAGGACGATAACTATGTATTCCTGTCTAGCTCTCCACCTAGAGCAAAACAACCTAGGATACTTACCGAACCGGCGCCAGAAGTCCCTCCCCCTGGTCTAACAGCAAAACCTGCAATCATGTCGTTGGTTCGTCCCGCGAGAACAATGCATACCACTAGCATGTCAATAGCACAAGGATCAAACGGCGTGAAAAAGACACTCGGTGTCAAAAGGAGCATGAATGGCTGGGCCAATCGTACAACACAGCCTTTCGTTCCCCCAACCAGGAAAAGAGAGAATTAGGTAATGCTTATGAGGAACAACGGTCTGGGATAGTTTTGGATTTGGAAATCGCTGTGATATAGTCCCGTTATGACATATTCTATGCGTGGTGGATATTGTAGAGTAATACCTCCACTATCATGGGTTGGAGGAGCATTGGATTTGCTCACGAGTCTGGCTATATACTGCATAATGCCTAATGAATATATGATCATAAGATCTTTCTGATCTGATCTGACCTGACCTGATTTGATTCCTCTTTAATTGCATGGGCCATGAACACGATATCCTTCTTTCCATTTGCATCGTTCATCGCTATTATTGATTTTCCGGGTCGAAACTACTATTTACTCTTTCTTCATTTGTATATGCAGAGGGTTAAACTAGCGTGAATGACGATTTCTGGATGTTTGGCAAATCGATATGTATCTATGGAGATGCAATCACGAGTGTGGTCATGAAATTATACAACGGTTGGTTTGTTTCACTAACCCAGGACTTCCCATATGATAAGTTTGAACATCGTTTCAGTAACCATCGATTAGGGCATTCAAATCGCAAAAATTGAATCATCATCATAGCAGTCCACCATATCGATCTAAGAAGTAAGAAACAGACTCAATAAGCGCCACTGCCGCGATGTAAACTCAAGACTGATCAACCACCTACCCAATGAAGACGCCAAAAAAAACAAGCTAAAAACTAGCACAAAATCAAATGCTAGCGCACATTAACATCCAGAGGAAGACTAATCACATGATGTGAACAAACAAATATATATGTATTACACATAGATAAATTTACCATCCCCTAAAAACCCATCGTATTCTCATTCCCCATAACCAATTTCCCATGCCGACATCACTGAAACCTAAATATACCACCACATCTCTCTTTTCCACACATACACGCAATACCCATAACGGACATTAAAATCCCAACCATATCACCGATGCCACCAACCACTGACTCGCTCTCCCCTCCTCCGAGGGTCTTCCGGACAAACCATCCCTATCCAGAAACTCACCACCGATTCGGTCGACCTCTCCTCTTCTCTCCTCGCCCTCTCTCTCTCTCCCTCCCCCCATCCACCCTCGGCACTCCTCACTCCCCCATCTGAAACCTCCAGCACTTCTAGTCTCCGAACACTCGCCCATCCATCGCCAAAAAGCACACTCCTCCGAAGCTAGCCACACGCACATGACCCGCACATACCTACCCCAAGAAGATAAAGTACAAACCTAGGTACTCATCTGCAGATAGAAACTTACACACACGGCCGTGTTATTTTTTTCTCGCAACCGGAGTTAGGTCAATTTCCGATGTACGAATAATGATCAACATGAATGAGTATCTCGGTAATTTCATCTTCTTCCAATGGAAAGAAACGAAGTATGCTCTCTATCTGGTATCCACCAATGATCTCCAATCTAGCACTATTCCTTAATTTAGCATTTAGAACTTCCTAAACCTCCGGGCGTCGCCGATCTCAACCCCGTCGGCAAATACCCACAATCAATCACATCATACACACTAGCAGACGTCATTTTTTGAAAAGAATTCTCGTAATCTCTACGTGAGATTTTAGATAGCAGTACATACACGCGTTTCCCATTTTATTAACGATAACTTATTAATCTACTTGGATTGTATGAAAGTAAATGCAAATTAATAATCCCAACTGAATAAATGAATACAATAGATTGCCATTATAGAATAGAGATTAAAGATGAGAGGAAACTTGGTGTTCTATGAATAAAACACGGGTAACATTCTCAATTATGCAATTTCCTCAAGAATCTCAGACTCTCGGATATCAATAAGTTCCACTCCTACCCATTACCATAAAGATGTTCATTGAATCAAATCCCATGTGTTCCCAATATGCATTTGAGTATCACTTCCCATAAAACCAAAACACCATCATCCATCCGACCATCCATTCCACCAAATCCGACTCACTCCGATTCCCAAACCCGAATAACCAATATATATATATATAAATCTCCATGATACCAAATCAAAAACTCAAAAGCCTTTTCATATGAGCACCCTTCTCACAATCACTAGGGAAAGGAGGAAATTTTCCATTCCTCGTCTCAAAAACCTCTAGGATACTTCTGACCGCAGTATAATAAGTTTCCGCTGTTCTCTCAAACCCAAGCCTATTCCATTCATCCGCATCTACCGCTGATTTAATATCATCCCAAACAAATTTCCAATTTTGTATCGCGAGTTTGAAAGGTGCAACGATTGAAGGAATAGATGTTGAGGGTAAGTAAACCAAAGGATTACAGAATGTTGAGGTCCATATATGAACGTATAGAACTATAGAGTCAGCCTTATATATGGTTTAATGTAAGTGGATAGTCTTACTGTGAATGAGCATTTGCATATCTAAAGCAGTTAGATTGCGGTTGCATAACGGCATCAGGTCTTCTTTGGCGTTTTCCATAGGAGAAAACAACAATAGGAAAGCATCCTTTATCTTTATTTTTGAGATGGGAAAACCTGCATGATCCTTAAGATCTTCGAATTTTGCAGCTTTGAAATACCCCTCATTGCTAGGAAATGGGAGATCTATCTCTGCCCACTGAAGTCTTGGAGTGAGATTGTTGAATATTGCAAATGCGTTGTCAAGCATCATCATCACAGTGGCCGTCCTGATATACGATTCTTTACGAATCCAATCCCTAAACGAAACTTGATCTTTGATAACAAACCCAGGAGAATGCTGTACGATGTTCAATTCCAAGTAGCGGTATATCTGGCCAATATCAGCTCCGCTCCTTGAGCACGTATGATTTGTGGTACTCACTGATACTAATTTTGCAAAGCGTTGTTGCCTCACCCGCGTCCTTGCTATCTCATTGCCCGTCCAGTATTGCACAACCACAATGAGATACGCGCCTTGAAATTCCTCTAATTGGTATTGTAACCATTCTTGGGACAGGTTTTTCGTACGCTCAGCATAAGTTCTACCGGGTAAGTCGAATTCGTCATTGAATCCATTTATTGAATAGATGTAGGTTTCAATGATGTCCAAGAGGAGCTTTCCCTTCGCTACTTCATCGGCCTGTTTGGAATACTAGACTTTCATTAGCCATTTAACTCTGGCATTCATGGAATATGAAACAAGCTTACCATTGCACCAAGACTCATGACCGAAAGTACCAGGGGTAATGCAGCTGTACATGGATTAAATGTAGCTTCGTGAACCATAGGTGCATGATGATGCCAATGCTTGAAATACAATTTGATATACGCAGCAATAGTATCGGCAGTTATGATCTCAACTGCTTCCAAAACTTCTTTGGATATAGCATTGGGTCCAACCATTGAGCTTGCAGCATATCTCAACTTTTCCCGTATATCGTAGGCACGTTGTTCTAGAACATTCCGATCGTTAAACATTCCATCCGGTGACCAAGGAATTAAATTGTCTTGAGGTAACTGCCATTCATGCGTTTGTCTTTCGAATGTGTCGAATTCCAAATTGTGGAGAAAGGCTAGATTTTGGTCCACCTCCATACTCGAAGTGTATCCAAAATTTACCATATTCTGGTTCATCATATCTCCTGGGGCCCATGGCTGAATCGTATTCTGAGGAAGCAAGCTTGTGTATTCTGCAGTTCTTTCCTTTGGGCTACTTCCCGTGGAAGCCTTTGGAAATTCGCGCATAAACTCTGCCTCATTTGGAAAATTCAATAGGAAGCCAATGGAATTTCGATCTGATGTAGGTTCCGGAGTAGTAGATGGGGTGTTAAGGATCGGGGAGCTGCCATTTCCGGACTTGCAGAAGTTTTTATCGATGAAGCGGAATCTTGAGTAAATTGTTAACGATATCGCAAACTTTCTTTCAGTGAACACCAACAACATACTGGTACCCCAAGTTTTAATACAACGTCTTCCAAATTCCTTGCATTTGCGACATGGTACTTCATTGTCACATTTGACTTTCAGCCTCGAGCATTCATTGCAAGCGTGTCGTTTCCGCCCTCGTTCTAGGGAATCTGGGATAGCGGCTGATCCGCGAAGTTCGCATCTGCTGAAATGGTCTCGGAGAACATCGCTATGATATATTATCAGTACTGAGTATTGAAGAGTATACAAAGATACAAGCTTGTGCATCTCTCGGGTCCTTACCTGCGTTTGAAAGTTTTGGTACAGAATATGCAGCTGAATGGTCGAACACCGGAATCTAGATTTCGCACACGTCAGGAAACTCTCCACATTCGATGACAGCATAAGATCGTCGCTTGAGCATCTTGTGTTTTGGGATGGGGAGAATACATACGTTGCTGTTGATGTCGAAGTAGATGTGCCTTGCGTTGGAATTTCTTACCACACTGGTTACATTCAGATAGGCTTTGAGTCTGGCTTTGAGCCTCCATTTTGACGGAACCATTGTGGTGGGAACGTGGAACTTCGGATGTTAAAGATATGATTCTATGGTTCTTGCGCAAGAGAATTTGTGGGGAAACAACGTTCACTGAATGGGGTTTCGCTCCTGCCGAAGCAGGGCTAAGAATAAGAAGTAAGAATGCTAAAGAGCAGGTTAGACATAATTACTAGATAGAGTGTTAGTACGATGTAGAGTAGACGCAAAAGTGTCGGAATGGAGAAATAATAGTAAGATTAGATAGTACTCCATACACACTCGGTAATAATGGATCAAGAGACTAGCTTACAAGGTTAGTCTGATACGAGGGGCTATTTCAAATCACTAGGACAATTCAGATGGCCGAATACTGCGTACGGAGGAAACCCTTTCAGAATTCTACAACCTAACCACCTTAGGTAGTAAAGATAAAAACTTTTTTCCCCTGACGCGTAGACCCTAGATCCTTAATTATTCGGAACGCCTCTGAACTACCAATAACCGCCGCTGTTGTACGCTATACCGCTACTGTCACAATACCACCGCTATATACCCAGATTTTGAGCTGGGGAACGCTTACCACATACGAACCCATTTGCTAATAAGGTTTGGGATTTTTGGGTAAGGTTAAAGCTAATTAGGATTAAGGTGCATACTATGTATATTAAGTACCAAATGATAGAAAATCGTATATCGTATATTGTACAGAGCAAAATCATCTACATAGATAGCAAAAAGGAAATGTCAAATTCCAAGACTTCATCACGAATCACGAGTCATATTTAAGCGGAGATGAAGGGGTATTTGTTTTTAGGTAACAATCAATTGGCCCCAGGCTCCTAGCAAACCAGCAAACCAGCACCCCGGGCATCAAATCCAGATCAGAATATAAACAATGAATTAAATCCATGTTATTTCCTGAAGCCTCGACCCACGCGCTTATTTCAAACAGGATATACTCCGTGCAAAAACTTGGTCATTGGCCATTGATCTCATCGCGAAATTTCCATTTCCATTTCTAGCCCAGCCTAGATATCATCATGATCATACCATATTTGTTTTAACTTCATATTCATTGGATACAGCGCGTCAAACTAGATCTCGAATACCCACTCTCAGAATCCTACAGCGTTTTTTAATTTCACAGAATAGTTCTACCTTAGTATTCCTGGAACTATCCAACTCTGAACTTTTAACTTTCCAACCTCCTCCCAAGCAATTTGTGACGAAAGATGGACATACAATATGTAGGTACACTGCGACGTTCCGGGTAACGGCCACCATTACCGGTAGGTGTATTATCATCAATAACCATTGCGTAGGCGCTGCAAAGGCGAGTTGGATCATTGCGTGCAACCAACTCCGCGTATCGGCTCGCGCTCCGGTCGGGGAAATTCACATGGAAGAAGGGCTCGGGACCGGAAGCTCACCAAACTCATTATCATCCATGAAAGTTGTGGAGTACCCTTTGACACATTTCATTCGGGGTACCTTCGAATTCTTGGTATAACATATTATGTGTAAGTGCACAAGGAATATCCAGCTTGGCACTTTTTCGGATTCGTAAAGACTCCCATGAAATTTCGCCCTCGCCTCAAACTACGCGAAAGCATATTTTCTAGATAGGCAACAAAGTAATTTAACAAGTTTGAAATACGGAATTTTGATGGATCCATCGCAGCGCTTAAGATCAGGCATTGGGCATTGGGAAATGGATTTAATGAAAATGAGGAAGCCTCAACAATTGGGCATAGAAAACAAGGACGCCTTAAGCAGTGGAGATCTTCAAACCGCCTCCTGCCCCGACTTATCCTACTGGATCGGTATATGCATAAGGTTATCATGAGAAAGCAAGGACTCCTAAGCAAACTGCAGTAAAAACCTGCTAATCGCCTCCTCCCCCACTCACCCTATAGGAAAAGCGCGGTATATGGAAGAAAATAAGGAAGCCTGGCACAGTCCACAACCATCGTGTCCACAATTACCGCATATTTGTCAGTTTTGGAGATAACACTAAGTATGGATCTGATTTAGCATTTCCATATTTTTCTCTGCAAGGCAGAACCGTTTACCCCATGGAAAACTATCTCCGAATGGGAATGATGGGGGTGGGGCAAAGCGTTTGAGAATGGGAGATGGAGGGTAGAGTTTTGTTGATTTTGATAGCAAAGTTGGGCACTGCTCATATATCCAAAAATATCAATCACGGAGAAGAGAAGCTACATGTGATATCTTTTCTAACAAACGTGTCATTCAAAACAATGCTTTTATTAACAGAAACGGAAAACCACGCAACTATATGCTGATTTCATTCCCCCAATCCCATGGTTGAACCATCAATCCTTCAAGCCTAAACGTGTTTTGTAAAACCATGCTGTCATAAAAAGAAAAGGAAAACCATGCAACCATATGCTCATTCGACCTCTCCATCCCATAGTTGAATCATCAATCTCTCCAAGCTGAGATGCTCCAATGACTCTATGAGATCGCCGACGAAAATGCCCATACCTCGCTCACAATTTCTAGCTGCAACTACCAAGTCCCTCGCCAGGTGGCTCTCGCTGAGTCCTAATCGGTAACAGCGGAGAACTATGCTCAGATAGCTTAAGACGATGCAGTGTCCATCTGATCGTCATCTAAATCTCCCATTACCTCATCGAATGCCTCGCTACTTTCACTTACGTTTTCGGCCCTTTTTGAAATGTTGACAGGAGCTCTATTTCTTAGGGGATTTCCTTTTGAACGACGAACCCATTGCTCATCATGACTCTAGTGACTGTCTGCAAAGCAGTCTCTAGAATTCCAGATTGGTCTTGACCTTCATTAGTCATCTTTAGCAGGTAGGTTGCCTCTGCCAAAAAAGGACGAAGCAACCTGTACTCAACAAACAAATTTGCTTTCGTGATTTGCTTCTTTAATGTGAGTAAACCGGTAGTAGGGAATTTCTAAAAATCGGGCCAAAGCTCAGCCATTTCTTTGTTCATGGTCTCTACATCATCCTCAACAAAATCATCGTTCTCGTTGTCAAGAAATGTCTCCAAAGCTGTGTTTAATGGAGCGTGCATGTCCTTGGAATCCTCGACTGGTTGCTCCATGACAAGAAATGCTTTCTGAAAATGCCATGATTCCGACGTTCCCGGATGTGAGGTTAGATGGTAGCGAATGCTGTTCTTGAGAGATAGAACGGGCTCCAGTATTACCTCAGTAGTATCTTGAGATTTCCCATTTCGCGGTTGTTCTGTCGATAGCGCTGCTAGTGGTGCATTTCGAATAGCTTCTTTAGCAGCCAGCTTGTTCCATTTCGTAGCTCTCCAATCTCTATTTGTCGAACTATCACGATACCTAGCTAAATAGAATACCTTTGATTGTAAAACGATCATTGAGAGACAGAGACCTTTGGTGCAGGCTTCTCCATGATGAGAACAAACTCGTTCTCCTCGATCTACTCTCCTCGTATCCTGATATCTCTGGGGTTACTACCAGATATGGAGCCGTTGAACCAACCAAGTCAACTTTGTTGCCGTCTCCAGCGTTTGTCCCGACGTCACCTCCTTTTTTACCGTTGGTAATTTCTTCCCGATAGCAGCCGACAGGTTAAGAAACGTGATTCCGACGATCAAATACTTTTGAACCTCGGCGGTTTCCATCGAAAGTTTGTTTTCTCGCAAGCTCAAACTTAATGAAGGGCTATGAGTCTCAATACCCTCTTTTCCCAAACCATCCACCGTGGTTTGAAAGCTTTTCGAAGATTGTGGATGCGCAATTATGTATGTGACGTCGTTGGAGATATCTTTGGGTTTCGGAACATGCAATCCTGTAGTAGTGAAGGCATATTCGCCCATCTGATACTCTGCTGCCTTTGTTAAGCTTGTCGCCATCTAAAGAACATCAACACTGATCATGGATATAAATCGATACTAGCGATTTGGAATGTGTACTCGCCTTGGATGGGGAGGATGGTATCGAAACTTTTGATGATTCTCCGGTCTTTACGAAGCTCAAGGAAGGGTTGAAAGTATTGGGTAATAACGAGGACGGGTTCGAAGTCTTGGGGAAGATAGATGTAGTTTGATTGTAACTTGAGATGGTAGTGCATCGGATATTGAGGTTGTTCGTTTCAAAGGTAAAGAGAGTAAATGGATTAGATATATCTTCCGTTGGCACGTAAACTGAAAGGGAAAGAGGAGGTATTTTTACGAAAGCGGAGAAGGTGAAAAATGTACTCCGTCTTTGACGGTGCATGACCCACAGCAATTCAATGAATATGATTGAGATAATCAAATCAAGTAGAACAATCGTATCGACTGGAACAACCAACGGGCTTTGAAGAGGAAGGGGGGGGCATAACGAATTTCCCTTTTGTATCTACACTTCTACTCCCACGCCCACATTCTGGTATAATGGTTCTTAAACAACTTGAGTACCAGCTTGCACACAATGTGAAGTATGTACTATATCTTGTTAATCGGTTCAGTTAACCGAGTGTATAGCACCGGATTGAGAACTCATGGTTCTAATTGTTGGTTTGATTGTGATCAAGACTGTATGGAAACTTCAAGCTCTCTAAAATGCATACCAGAAATCGTACCCATTTAAATGATCACTATCTGCTCGAATCCATCTTCGCTTCTCTTAAACCAATTTGCTAACACCTGTCCTTGTCCATCTTTCTCTAGCATAATCGGATATTTCCCCAATTCCATAAGTAATTTATTTTGTCGAAAACTACTCGTAATGCTCCCGAAATTTCCACTTCCAACCCTTCTATATACTTTCTCACCCGGCCTGACGAATTTTCCATCATCACCGATTTGATCTGAAGCATCCACCTCAACGAGGAAGATGCATTGACACGACACAGTGCTATCGAATGATATCAGCAGTGGCATCCACACCAAGCTTCTGATGCCCGTATTCCAACTAATAATCTCATATGCCTCTACCGTATCTCCGGTATACCATATACCTTGCCCCGTGTATTCGTCAATAAGCTTAACACTTTTTTCCCAAGCATTCCAACTTGGTGCTCTTTTGTAAGCTGCTTTTACGCGATTCAAACGTCCACGTAATCTCATCCATCCCGCTTTCACAAAACCAAAGAGGTACTCTGTTTCAAGTGCCACATCTGCGGCTAATACATTGGCTAGTGCAAACTGTTTAAGACCAGGGTTGTCTTCATATTTTGGGCTGACGCCAGATGCAGTGATGGTGTAATTATGTACTGGTGCTTCAACACTGGCCCAACTCCAACTTGGAGCCACGTACTCTGGGTCTCCAACTCGCTTTCTTCGTGGTGTGGTTCGTCCATCTATGTTAACCCAAGTCAGTTGATGCACAAGGTTGAAATCATATAGCCCCGCGAGATATTTCTGTGGCATCATTGCGGCCAGTTCTTGAGCGATGGATGAAACGGCAATGAGTTTATCAATGCCTTTTGTTAATTTACAACGTGTGTATGATGCTACGGTGGATTGCCAGGTTCTTTCAAAATCGCTCAGTAACCGCATTAGTTGTTCTTCAGAAGGAGGGTTCAACACAGACGTTTCCCGTACAAAGTGTAACGTCCTTCGTAAACTCGACCCCTCAGTACCAGTCCATTCGGGTTGTTCTCCACCAGAATGTTCATCACAAGCCCAATACACACTGTTCTTTGCAAAAGCGAGAGTCCGTCGAGCAAGATTGCGCTCTTGATATACCCATGCTCGTGTAAACAAGGGCGCATTCGACACAGTATTACCAGGTATATCAGAGGCGAAATTCCACAAAAGCCTTGCTACGCCACTAAGTAACAAGCAGTCGTCATTATCAGCGTTCTGTTGTCCAAGATCATGGCCAAGAATAGACGCAAAAGAAGTTCGAAATCCAAACTCAGCTCGTGGATCTCGATATTCATTGATAAAACCTTCATAGTCAGATGTAGTGGACAGAGCCGCAATATTTAGCCATGCGAACTTGTACACATCTCTCATCATAGCACTCTGCTCCTGCCAATCTTCAAGGCTGTCTTGAATAATACATAAGCTATCAATCCAGATGTACTGAAATCCTAGCGACACACAGACAATTATTGCATGCCTGAAGGTGAGTGGAAGATCATCGAGTGGTACGTCAACTCGCCAAAGGGCAAGATTTGATTCAGTGAGCACTGCTCCGACACGACCACCAAGCGGAGCAGAAGGATCTGGCGATGGACCCCAAGAATGAGAGAGCGAAGCGTATTCTAACCCCTTCCATCCAGGAAGAAAGTCAGCAGGATCAGATCTGACTACCAAACGAGCACTTATATCACAATATCCAGGCTCAGAGTCATCTCGAGCAATTTTAAGTAGGCGATCGGGAAACCAATATGTTTCCGGTTCATATTGATCTTCGCCACCCTTTCTGAATATCCTCTGACACTTTGTATGGGAGTTTGCGCAAGTACTCAACCACAACCTTACCCTGGCCATTGTTCCAGCGCTTAGCGTTGAACAAAAAGCAGCAGGTTCAGGTTGAATAATATTAGTATCCTGCACTGTAGGATCCTGAAAATCCAGTGGTACAATAACGGGGTAATCATGGGAGGTTTCCTCGGAGGCTGGTATATGCACAGTATCGTTGTCCGCACCGGGGTAGACCTTAAAGCCACCTGATCATACGTTAAATCATTATGTTGCCACAAATTTTCATAGATTCCGTTGTAGATACATACCAATTCCCCATGAGAACCCGTCCTTGTGTTTTGTGGTAATAAGTACACTAAGACATCTATTCGGAATATCTATGCTTCCCGCCCAAGTTAAACTCCAGTCCTCATAAGGTGCATCTCGCAAGGAAGTTTCAAATGATACATGTGCTTGCATTGCATCGAAAAGAATTCTGGTCTTTGCACACATAACGCAATTCTCATCTAATGGATCCTCCTCGGGATCATCCTTAGGATGTATCCATAGACTTCTGTGTTTCGGTCGAAAATCGCGTACTTGCATGGATGGAGAGTGCACAATCTGAAGTTTATCATGTTTCGTTCCATCTCCATATAATTTTATCATATGGGAGAGTAGGGTAAGACATCGTGCACATATTGATCGAGTTCCTTTCCCGGCCGGATGAGGCGGAGGAAAAGACAGAGTTGGATATAAATCCTTAGGAGATTCCAAAGGTGTTGCTTCTTTGATTGACAGCTTTTCCAGCGTAGAGGACAAAAGCCGAGATAACATGTTCAAGATAAATGCTTACATTATTGTGCTGGAATTGTAGAAGTATTGTCCTTATTAGCATTGCAGCTTTTCAGCTCAGCTTGGCGCCCAGATCCATCGATCAGGCAGGCCACATACATTGTATGGTAACAAAGTGATGAACGGAGATGTGCTACACGGGCCATCATAAATAAACTCTTTACATTTCATTGCAATTGTACTTCTTGGAAAGACCTAGGTCAGAAAGATGAAGGTTTCTACTAAGCTAGATTAGGTATAGCCCATTTCTCCAAACAACTGCCAAGGTTGTCTTCTCTTGTCCACGCCAAAAGCTCATGTGTATCCTCCTCTCCGCTCACATAGATTTCCATAGTGGAAACCCACTCACATTACGTCCGGCAATGTATCGTCAATTACTAATTGCTAGGTCTTCGGTCTACGGTCTTCATTCATGTGTCAGAATCGATTCTCCCCGGAGATGACTTCGATCCTATCTCCTATTTCTCCATGGTCAATTTCATTTCTCTCCAATCTTTCGGTTCGGTATTTAGTTCAAATCACATTCGGAACTCACATTCAAATATTCAAAATTGTTTAGGTACAGTATCTATCTATTAAGGAAAAAAAACAAATTTCTATCTCTCGCAGTCAAGGAGGCCCTATCTGATTGGTCCAGCCGATCTAATCATACCCCCTTCTCAACATCTCGATTCTGGCCAAGAATGGTGATTCAACTGGTGATTCTTCTTCGACCAAGTCTGGCTCGCCAAAGAATCCCTGCACGTCAAATGTGTCATCGTCGTCGTACTGAATTTGTCCTGCCATCAAACCTTCCATGATTGTCTCATGATTTTGATCATCTTCGTCTGAGAGAGCCGAAACTTCTGAGACATCGGACATGTTCCCATCATCTGAGTCACGTTCATCTTCTGAAACGTCGTCAACTGCAACAGTCTCGCTGTCCATTCCCGTCTTCTGGCCATCCTCGCTTGAGTTTGAGTCTTCGAAGACAGAGATCGGCTCTTCGCAATTAATACATGGAGAATCAGCTATGACCTCGTTGCTGATTTGTTTGTAGCTTCTGCATCCAAAAGGGTTTCGGCGGACAGGGTAGCAATTGTATTCGCATTGAAACTCTGCATAGCTGGTCTTCAGCTTGCTGTCGCATTTAGGACAAACCTCAATGGTGCGGATCCAGTTACACATGATGTGGTTGGTAAGTTGATCTGGTGTTTTCTTGGTTGGTTTGAGTTGCTGTTGTAGGGTTTAGAGTGTTAATCAATGGAGTGATGATTTAATGAGAATTTAGAAGTATAGAATCAGCCAGATTTATACTTCACCGGAGAAAGTTGTTCTGATCCCATTCTGCTTCTGTTCTTGACCTATCTATTTGCTTCGAACAAGAACGAGGTTTATCACAAGATACTCCCACACCTTCACGCAATCGATCTCTATAACACCCAATTCTCAATTCAAACTATCAATAAGGCCATTGTTCTTAACAATGAAACAACACAAAGAAATATTCTAGGCCTTTGAGCAAGATTTTAATGTCTAGGAACATTGTCTGTCTTCTTTGTAGTTCCAAACCTGGCTTTCTTACTCTATTTTCTTTGTCATGTTCCAGTACAAAAGCTGTGCAGCGAACAACCACATTGTTCACATCTTGTTCAAAAGTTATTGTGATTCACGCAGCACATACAGGAACTGCAAATACCATCGAAAGTTAGTCACCGCCATATCAAATACACATACACAAATAATTTCCCGAATCACAATACACTCACAACCAAAATCATGTGTACCATTACCCACACCTACCATGATTGTTCCCACATAAACAAATACACTTATATCTGTTCTCTCCAATTCAGAAACAAATCCTACAAAACCACATCTTCCTGTCCGAAAACCTCCAGGAAATCAAGACTATGGAGTTTAAACGAATGTGCAAGATGTACGAGAGCAGCGACGGCAAAGGGAAAGAGAGCCATCAAAATCAAGGAAACCAAATGGAGCAAGATATATAAAGAACCTAAAGGGGGGTGGCAAGTAGTTGATTGGTCCGGGGAAAGAAATTCGGGTAGGTATGAAGAGAATTCGGACTGTACTCCTAGTCCGACGACGAGGAGCTCTTGGTTGTCGGATATTTTGAGGTATCGAGTTTAATGAAGACATTCAAGTGAATTCAGATATTCAAATAAAGTTAAACATTAAACTAGACTCAGATATTCAATTAGATTTAGACATTCAAATCAATCCAGATATTCAACTAAATTTAAACATTCAAATCAATTCAGATATTCAACTAAATTCAGATATCCAACTGACTTCAGACATTCAACCGAATTCAAACATTCAAATAAATTCAAACGCTAACCCAAACTCAAACATTAACCCAAATTCAGACATTGAAAATCTCTGTAGCACTCGCTCCACAATCCTTCCTTCCAGTGTACACTTTCCATCTCCAACACCGGTACTCATGAAATAAGTGTGAATACCACTCGGTATCCTCTGAATCGGTTCGAACATAACACAACAAAGCTCAAATTCTCCGCCGTGTAATTTCCCTCTCACCTTGGCCACTATGAATCTCAACGTCCACTCCCCTCGACATCATCATCCAATCCATCCTCCCTTTTCACTTCCCATTCTCGAACTACCCACGCACTAAAACACCACATTCAAAATTCGCTGCACACACACATAACTATGTTATTTCAACCCTTTCATGATTCGAGGGCATCCCTGGCTAAAGATGACGTGGACGGAAAGGGGAAAGAAAGTATTTGTAGCGCCCGTGGGATGGGAAAATTTAGAAGCGAGTGTTCTTCTTTCTTACCTACTACACGTATGTGATAAACAATAACGATTTATCAATAAAAGAAAGAACAAGTCGAATGATTAGTTCGCTGTCATAGATCGAGAGAGTATGATTTATTATATACATACAATACAATTAAAGTCTATTAGGCAAATAAACACCAGAGTTCTTTCCACACATCAAATCATGGATAACTATCTGCTACAAGGTGATTGGTGCCCCATATTTAGGTGGAGCAACGCATACCACAAACAGCCACTCACAGCTGCTATAAATCCATTGCACTCCTCACCCACCCACTCCCAGAACCCTCACCCAAAAAAAATCCAAAAAGTCAATGAACCTGCCCGGGGTCGAACCGGGGACCTGCTGCGATCTCACATAATCCGTAAACGGATTAGCGTGTAAAGCAGACGTGATAACCACTACACCACAAGTCCTTGCTGTTTGTTATGCTATCAATGCTTCGTTTCAAAAGATAATGTAAGTTGCAAACTGGTTGAGGGGCTTCAGAAGTGGGGGATTTTGTTGAATGTGGGGTACAATTTGGGAATCGGGTGGTCTGTGCATACATATGTGCTTGACGAGCTGAATTGAATGAAGAAGGTGTAGCGGCAGTTGGAGATAGACAAATAGATAAAATAGAAATGGGAGATCTAATGTATCAAAATATGATTTTTGGAATTTTGGTCAAGCAAAAATTCCTTGATTTCTTTATTCCAACTTGCCAATTGTGTGAAGTTAATCCCTCAAATCTTTAGTATAAGTTTTGATTCCTCGCACGTAGAAATATATATATCCCAGAGGAACTCCAGATGAATCATTCTTACTACTTAATCAGAACCTTGAGAACAATGAAATGTTCTGTAATTCATATGCTGAATTGTTATTATAATAGCTAGGTATCAGTTTATGTACAAGAAACAAAGCGATAATAGTATCCTAAAATAGATCCACTCCTTCGAACTCCTGGTGTATTATCATTCAAAACTCCATCCATATTGTGCAATGAACGCAGTAAATGCAATAAATAGCAGATGAAAAAAAACATGACGGTCGTATCATCTGACAATGAAGGACCATCTGACTGTCGGTTTCGGATCGAAATATTGAAACTTATTATCAGATATTCCTCAGAGTCCTAGGCAGTTCATTCGAATCTGGTGTGCCGCTTAGTTTGACCATCGCGCTCCCTACTAGGCATCATCCCAAACTCAATTCGGCCATCTAGACCGTCTTCAAGATATAATCAAAACCTTATCCTTCCTCTAAACTATGTTTCTCCTTACAATTCCCCAGCTATTGGTTGACATAGCTATCAATATCTACTCTATGAAAGAAAGAGATATGTCCGAAGGGCACCCAGTGCTGTGCCAACACGTCTGGGGATATCATTATCAGTTCTGTCTCGATATATTTTGCTATCAACAGTCAGTAAGGATCGCTACACAATTCTTGGAGAAAGGAGATAAATACGATTTTTATATCCTTGGTTGGCGATTTGACCGCGACTCCTCACGATTCTTGCACCAGGCCAATCCTTCTCCCCATAGCGAACCAATCCCTTGTCACTAATATCATCAGCGACCCATGTAACTTCCCCTCGAGGTATATTTGGATCTCCAGTCAATTTAATAGCGCATAGCGAGCCTGTAGGAGTTCGTGCTTGTCCCTTTCTTGCTTCCCACGCTTCGTGCGATTCGCCCCTTGACTTCGGTATGTTTAGCTCGTCCTGTTTCTGAAGTCCATCTCGTTGATCTAATAGTAGATATTCGCAACCATGACCTGAGTAGTCCCCGACCTAGAATTGTGATTCGAATCAGCAGGTGAATTTGAGATCCCGATTTGGTGATGATCCGTTAAACCAGGTTTGTCTCATAATAGGTTGATGTGGCGTCTCTCAGTTTTGCAAAGTTATGAATCTCTGAGAGTGATTTGAATTTTCAAATGGCTTTTGTTCTAATTGAATTCAGTGTCCCAGACGAATCCAACAGGCGAAAGAAAGATTCGGGAACCTTCAAGATCTCCTCTCTCATGCATACGGACTGCTGGAGACCCTGATCATTTCTTCGTTGATTGTACATGATGTAAGTCATATCGTGTAGATATCAAGAGCCTGGGAAAGGTCATGAATGTACAGAAGGGATATGCAATTGAGAAGCTTTGGTAAAACAGGCGAAGTTTCCGTTGAACTTCTCGATGAAAGCTCAGATCTAAGTGAATTGAGGAAGCAAGTATAAAATGAGGGCACACTTACAAAGATACCTCTATAAGGCTTATCCTCTGTCGGTGTGTACAATTCAAAATCAAGGGTCGAATATGTTTGGATTTGATCTCCTATTTGCACCAGACCATTCATCTCCATCCAGCCTCTAATCCGAAATGATTTCTCGTTGATCTGAGAGCGATTCTCGGGTCGACCCCATGTAGCTGTACATGAGTTATCGAAAATGGTAGGACGATCTGCTCGGACTTTTGCTGGAATCCTTGGCGGTGGCCATTTATTCGCTTGCGGCCTGTTGGGCTGATTACCTACTAACAATTTTGATAGCAAGAACCTCGAAGGACATTCCCGAGTAGAATTTCCGCGATCCATCATTTTAAGCGGAACCTCGCCCTTGAGCCTGCGCTCGGCATGTCCCATGTCTGATAGGGACCGGTGCGAATAAGAATGGAGGTCTAGTTGCTGAGGAGAAGTAGCTAAATGCGTTCTGGGATCAAAGCAATGAATCACGACTGAAGTATCATCCTTCCATGCACAAAATTGAGGTGTTGACCTTTGGGTTAGAAGTCTGTATAATCCGATAGAGCCATTCTCAGGGTTGTATTTAGAAATCATAAGCTGCCCGTAGTAATCAGAATCGCCAAACCATAGTTTGTTCTTGGTAAGGAACCAGTGAGGATCATGAGATTGGTAAAGCTTCTTAAAAGACTCGCATGGGAAAGGGGAGTTAAGCTTGATACCGGGAACATTTTCTTGTACGAGGTGCCGCCAAAGTGAATCAGTTTCTGTGATATCATACAATATCTTGCACGATTTGCCCAACTTTATCAGATCGCATGGCGAAAGATAGGAAGAAACTTGGCGAAGTATCTCAACCGGAAGGTGGGCTAGCTTGAGCTGGATTTCAATGGAAGATTTGATACCTAGTGGAACAATTGCTATCAGCCGTGATTCTTTCAGATGAATACAGTAATTGGGACTTATGCTTAACTGCAAGACCTTGCCATTTCCATCAAGCGAAAAAACACAGCTCGAAAGCCAAGAACACCAAGCAAATACAATGCAACAAAGAAAGATACATACCCGGAAATGCCGCATTTTTGGATTGAGATGATTCAGAGGATGGTGCTTCCTGGGAAGAGAAGAAATTGCTCATGTCCGGACTTTCCACTGCCTCGACTAACTGTACAGTCGATTCGATGCCGGGGTCCAACCCACCATGTAAGTATTTTTCGTTCTCCATTTGATAGATTCTCTGTTTAACGAAAGAAAACTCGTTTGATCTGCTCTATCGAGAAGGCCCTCTAACTTGGAAGGTGGAGCAGATATTAAAGAGGACGAAGGGGGAATGTTTGTGTCCTTATGACCAAACCGTAATAGACTGGGTACAATGTTGTAGATTGTTCAATCAGATATGGTTGGGTACGATGAGATTGATATCTTCTTCTGAAATGTCTTTCTTAACGTCTTATTCGATGATGATGATATCTTAATTGATCATTTGATAATGCTCGCAAGCTTTTCCTCTGTTTAGTTTCACTGTGATATCTCTTGGACGGTAAGACTGAATGATCAATTAGAATGATCAAATTTCTTGGAATTGGA